ATTTTGAAATAAAATATTAAAAAATGGTGTGCCTATGAATCAATTAAAAAAAAAATTTTTTGGTAGAAAACCAATTAAAAAGTTGACGTGAGGAAAATTTTTGTTAAAAAAAAAAAGAATTAATAATGATTGAATATGTATTATAAACACTATCAACTAAAGGATCAAAATGAACATATGTAAGTAGAAAGATGCAATTGATCAACCAATGGGAAGTAAAGAACATTAATGGAAAAATATTTTGTATCATCATGATTTTTTTTATCAGCTTGTGTAATAATGATATTGAGCAATATTTCAAAGTATAAGGACTTTGATTTACCATTAAAAAAAATGAGGACTTTGATTTGTCATAAGCCGTTAATTTTGAGTAAACTCGCTAATTAGTTACTAACATTTATTAATTTGGGATAATATAGTGTGATGAGTCATCAATAACACCTATTTAATTTTAAAAAAGAAGTTGTAAATTTTTTTAAAATATTTTTTAGGGTATGTTTGATTTTGGCAGCACGAAAGCAAAGGGATCCAAACTAACAGCATTTTAGAAACTTATCAAGACACCATTTTTAGGCCATATGTACACTTTCAGACTTTCAGTTCCCACTTTTCGGCTTTTGAAATCCACTTTTCGTCTGGGGGTCCAGACGTTTAATAGCCCAATTTCAAAAGTCCAAACACACGACTAACCAATGGGTTTGTGGATTTGGGCCGCTTGTCCTGAATATCAGTGGATTCATTTTTCTCTTAGACAAAAAATAAATATATTATTTTGCAATAGTTTCAATCTTTTATGACATATGATTAACTCATTCCATTAGGTGAATATAAGTATTCATTAATTAAATATGATTATATATATTTTTTATATATCAAATAATGAGTTATATAACATGAGCTCTTCTTACCTATATCAAGATTTGAACATAATATTTACAACATAGAGAATCAAGTTTTTTAATACCAAGAGGCAGTAAAAAAAAAAATTAAATGTTAATATTCTAACTTTATCCTTATTACTCTAGTTTATTTATAAAGATGATAAACTTTTATTTAAGATAAATATCTCGTTCACTTAATTATAAAACTTTTGTCATCCCTTAATTGTCTAAGTCTGTATAAAATTAAAAAGTGAGACAACTAAAATGATGCGAAGGGGATGATAAAAAAAAAGAAGATAAAGAAAAAGGGAATATTCAAATGAAAGTAAATAAATTTTTTCGATAAATCAAAATTTATTAATATTGAATGAGAAAATCTAATATCCAATATATAACAAAAATATATATGATTTAAATACAAAGGAAATTATTCTATTTATTACTAAATTATTTATAGATTGAATATAAATTTTATATTAAAACTCACATATCTAATTTTCATACGATATCAAAATAAGTTATGTTTCTTTCAAATCCGTTGTTGTTCGGCCACATGAGATGACATATTTTCATAAGGTATTAGATCAGGCTATATTTCTATCAAATCCATTGTTAACATACACTGAATAGATACAAGCAAAAATGCTCTACTTATTACTAATTGACAAGGTGTAAATCTTCTATTGAAATCCAAATGTTTTAACTTTTACAATTAAAAGAGTATACTATACATAAAGGGTAACACCAACACTTTTGAGCTAGACAACTAACATCAAAGAAACACATTAAACAGGTAATTAAGTTAACACAGAACCAATTACAACTTTACAAATCCATTTACTTTTCAAACAAACACAAAGAATACATAATTAAGTTGAGCTACAAAAGTTAATTAATTTGTACAAACATGAACGTTCAATTTCATAAACGAACTTAGTTTCTGCATACGTTAAATTCCATCAAAAACTAAATCGGACGTACTTTTACTTTTCCAGGAACTACTTTAGAACTAGAAGTAACACTTCTAGCTTATTAACGCTCTCTTCCCACTCAATATTTAGAAGAATCATAATGTGGCAAGAAGCAGAGAAATAACGGAACAAGCACTCCACAATTTCCGTTGAATGGAGCTGGAGGCAGAAGTAGTGGTAGTAGTAGTAAATGATGAAGGGTTCATATTATAATAAGGGAAGTAAGGCACCGTCCCGCCAGCTGCGCTAGGCGGGCCATAAACTGTACCGCTGATGACGCCACCTTGAGGGGGCCCAGGCTGTATCGGGTCTCCGGGCGGTATCGGTATTGGATCTGGTGGACATTCGTAGCATGGTGGGCATTCGGGGCAGGTTGGTGGTGGCGGCGGGCATTGAGGGACTTTAGGTGGCGGAGGAGGGGAAGGAGCCGGTGGGGGGGAAGGACGCCATGGAGGTGGAGGACAGAGGACAACAGGCGGTGGAGGCGGAGGTTGGTACACGGGGCAAGGGTTAGCACACGAAATGCATATTTGGCATGGCACTAAGTCTTTGGATGACGTTTTGACGATTGGTATTGAATCGGCCAAGGTGGAGAAGGAAAGGAATGCGAGGAGGAGAAGGAAAGAGGAGAACAGCATTTGCATGGGGGTCACCATTTTTGTGATGCTAAGAAATGTTTCGGACTTTGGAGAAATAATGGATTTGAGAAGGAAGGAAAACGTCGGTGGTTAATTTGGGGTTGGGTTTGTGAAGATATATGGAAGGGAGGACGTTCGTGTCTGGTGGTGACTGCCCATCCTACGTGCTTTATCTTCTATGGCATCATTAAGAAAAAAGGAATTAAAAAAAATTAGGAAAAGGATTAATTCTACTACCACACACGAAGAGGATTCATGACGACCGTCACTGTCTAGCAAAAGAACACTTTTGATAATAAATATGAAATAAAAACACATGTTTTTAGGAGATGGTGAGACATTAATGTTGTCAAGAAAAGAGATTAATTTCGTTGAAATTGGCTTACAATAAAGATTTGATATTTACCAGTCACGCCTCAGTTCAAGTGATGATCTTGATGAACTGAAAAAATGGAGATATATCTTAATGAAATGCTTATATGATTTCAAAAAAGTATAATATAATTTGGATTGTATCAGATTACATTATATTAATTATTGAATGGGGGTTGGGTTTCTAATATTGAGAGTCCTCTTTCATTTAATAATCGATATTTTACCATCTATTACAGTTAAAATTGTAAAATAAGATTTTTATATGATTTTTATTTATTTATTTATTATTTTGTATGGAAGTACTCAGGATTGAATTTTATATTTATAATTGAGAGCACACAAGCAACTGTGCCACATGGTTGATGCTTGATGGTGATTTTAAATATGATCCAAGTACACTTATAGCTTGTAAATTATATTGAAAAACCAAAAAAAAAAAGACAACATATTATATTAACTAAATGATACTTAGAATCCGCATGCAAAAAAGCTTAGGAGAAAATGCGCAATGTGTTCGCTGTGGTGTAGTGGTTATCACGTTTGGTGCATGTCTCCAACCCAATCATGGGCAGCAACAACATACTATTTAGTGATATATTTTTAATTTAATAGGGTTACTACGTCAAATGATAAGATGGCAAGAGGATCATGTTAAAAATATAAGTTTGTATCACTTTACTATTATTTGGATGCAAACACCTCATCAAATGTCCTTAGACGGTAGTTTACAAATGCAAGGTCCCAAAAGGGACATCCTATTAGTTAAAATTTTAAGTTTTTTAATTAAAAATTTTAAATTTAAATTTCAATATTAGTGGGGAGAAGTTTTAAAATGAGAGTTATTTTTATATGTTATATAACTTATCATTTTTTATATAAAAAATTATGCAAGTAAAATCGCTTAAATAAATAAAAGGGAATTAAAATATCTTATAAGTACAACTAACTTAATTAGTTTCTAAGTCTTATATGTATGGTTATTTTTTAAATTAATTTATTTTTAATTTTAAATTAAAAAATAATATTTTTTAATAAATATATTATATAATATATTAAATTAAAATATATAACAATCAGATGATAGAAGAAAATTGAGGTGATACTTTTTAACACGTTCAAAGTATGTAAAAAATGGAAATGATTTTTCACACAATATACAATAGTATCTATACAAAGACCGGTTACGTGAATGAATGAATAAAACAAAACTACAACCAATGGACCACTTTTCCCTGGTGGCTAACTCAATCCTCATTGTAAACGTTGGCGTCTACTGAAAACTCCTAATGAAGACAGAAAAATTACAGAACAAAAAATCAGATAAAAAAGACTAAAAACAAAAACTCTTTCTGATTGATTTATCTTTAAAAATTATCTTGTTTACCAATCCAAAAATAATAATAATAATTATCAATTTTCTAATTATCTCTTAATTTGAAGACAGAAAGAGATAGATGTGCTGGATTGTAAGGATAACAACCATGCTAGCATTCTATTTGAC